CAAACCAAACTGATTTAACAAATCCTTTAATCTGTCAACTAACATCGAATAAACCAAACTGATTTAACAAATCCTTTAATCTATCAACTAACATCGAATAAACCAAACTGATTTAACAAATCCTTTAATCTGTCAATAAACATCGAATAAACCAAACTGATTTAACAAATCCTTTAATCTGTCAACTAACATCGAATAAACCAAACTGATTTAACAAATTCTTTAATCTATCAACTATATAAAATATATGTTCTCCTGAAGGTATACGATTAACGCTGTATTAAATGTTACATTAAAATATCCAGCTAAACATACTAAATCATTGTTTTGTATTTCATTCAACTGTTTTTCAATTTAATCTAAACATTCATGTGCTTTTTCATCACATTGTGGTAAATACACGTTAGACAAATGTAAATTGAACTTTTTTGATTTTATCAATACATGCAAAATATTACCTTTATACTCGGAGATAAATGTATTTTCTTTCCCAGATGATTTATGCAAAACTATTAGTACGCCAGATCCATGCTGTTGTACAGATAGATAGACAGAAAATAGAGATAGCATAGATTGAATGAACAATCATTTGTATTTCAGATTAGGTTGCGAATCATCAGATGTCTCGTCTGTATAATAACAAGCTTAGAGGGATTACGAACGGATCATACACCTTAGAGCTTGTTTTGTGAGAAATATAACTATTTATATATTTCTGTTATAGTTGCTTATATGTATGTATTTCTCTGTTTTCCTATATATACGGACAACACCTTACCTTCATCCAATCAAATTGAAGCCAATGTTTTAATTGAAGTGTGTACATATAAATAAATTACGCTTTCTTTGTCTTAGATTTCAAAATTGGTAAACCAGACACCACTATAGGTATGTATATATATCAAAAGCTAATGAATTAACCGTTTACGTATTATTTTCCCAGACGCTTGCTTTTAGTCATTCATGCTCATAGACAAAACATGTTATTTCAGTGGACAAAGAGAGCTTTATTAAGTTCTTTAAAGACAGCTTATTATGAAGATAAATATGTTACAAAGTAAACAATCCCAACAGCTTCGTTATGTGGAAGCAGATTTTTTGACTCTAATTTTAGTGGAACTTACAGTTACGAATATGTTGCCATGTCCATTATCCTTGACATATTTTCAATGTGTCGGGCTATAGTTAGTAACCAACTCATTAATTTCAGTTGCATGGGTAAAGCTTGGAATCCTGAACAAATACTATTAACACAGTTGCCAATAAAGAACACAACACAGTTTTAAGTTACTTGTTCGCTATTTCCTCACTTTACAATCGAAACTATTTACGAAATTCAAAGTCCAGAAAATCCGTATAATGTATGCTTTCACACATAAGACCTGTAAAGAAGATTTCTAAACCTTGGGTTTAAGTTTTTCATTCTGCAAAATTTCATTTTTATATATTTACGTCACCATAAAAAAACACAAAAAAGTCTGCATGGAAAAAAAGAAAGATTGTTATATGGAAATATATATATATATATGTGCCATAAATATAATGTACACATTTATAGATGTAGCCGACCTGAGTTACTAATGGAATTTTAGCTGTATTTGCTGAAAATAACACATATGATTTTAGTCTATGGGCCCGGCATGGCCGGGTGGTCTGACGAGCTAAAAAGTAATATATCTTGTTACACCAAGGATAACGACATTATATATGGCAGATGCATTCATATCCTGAGTTATTCCTATTTTATTTTCACTGTGCCACATTTACATGATTCATTAATGGATGTTGATTTTTATTGTGATCGTATCTAGTAGGAATATTTTTTATAAGTTATGATGCATAATTTCCAAGCAAGTTATGATTAATTTATTATTGGATAATAGATGTGATACTACATTAACGTAAAATTGAAATTCTTTACAGGCCCAATACAGGTTTTCAGTAAGAAGAGTATTTAATGACATTTTAAATAGAGTAATAATGGCATATTAAAATTAGTGTTACTGTGATGTCATATATCACCATTAAGGTAATATTTTGATCACGATTAGAATGCACGAGAAACTTCTGAAAGAGAACAACAGTTTCACAACACTTGGCCTGACATGGGCGTTGTGGTTAAAGCACTCGAACATGCTCAACCCTTTCAGCCGTGGGTAAAGGAGTAGCCCAAGAAGTGGCCAGTTGGTGCTGTTGACTAGCTGCCTTCCTTCTAGTCTATCACTGCTAAATTAGGGACGACTTGCGCAGATAGCCCTCGTGTAGATTTTCGCAAAATTAGAAAAAAACAACAACAAATAAGCCACAACAAACAAAATATGTGATCACTGCAGATTAAAAACGTGGAGGTATATTAGAGGTTGAATAACACGCCCTTTAAAAGGTATATTAGAGGTTGAATAACACGACATTTAAAAGTTCAGATTACCCTCTACCACACAATTTAAAATCATCTCTTCAAGAACCTATCCCTCAATTACACCACAAAGATGCGAAGATGTTGCTATAGTGGGACAAAACCTTGTCAATACGTTGTACATTTCTAACTAGGTTAAACATGTAATAAAATTTTCTTTATTACCCATTCAAGTCGTCTTCAAACTTTATTGTCTCAACGTGGGTTCCTCGTCATCAAATAGCTAGACACCATTCTGCGCTCACTATTTATAGAAGACATTCAAACTGATTAATTAATGGTAATATATATATTTTCTCTTAGATTTCAATGTTCTTAAGATATTAAAAACGTCCAGATTCTGAGAATTGTTGCATTTAGGAAGTTAGGAAAAGAAACCCATTGTAGAAGGCTCGGTAAATGATACGTTACCAAGAGATTATATATTCTTAAAATAGGGTAAACTGTCAAGATTATTACTTGACTGACAGAGTCGTTGCTTTTGTAATATAGTAAGTACGAACTGAATGGAAGAGAGAGAAAACGTGAGGTATGGTTGAATTGGTTTGTATTTTATAGTTAAATCATTGTGTCCTGGAGTCGTAGTCTGTGTTAATAAAATACACACTTATCAGTCTATAATGTAAAGTTACCAACCATTAAAGAAGCAACCAACTGTAATTGTACACGAATATACACGTTGAAGACAATGAAATACATGAAAACAACAAATAATATACATGTAGATTTTTTATTACACGTGTCTTCCTCCGTCTATTATCAAAATAAACTGATAATATTGTGTTTATTGGGGTAATATAACAATACTCATCATCCAAGCAGTTCCGTTATTATTACAAATCAATATTACCTGATATTAATTTCAATTCTCGATAACGGTTCACTTTCTGTAACATCCAAAGTAACTTCTACAAATTAACCTTTTCTATCATGACTGATACATGGCGTGGAAGGGATTCAAACACTAGTTATTAATAATTAAACACGGATTTGTCGATAGATGACTCTTCATCTGTTTTGTGAAGATTATAAATAATAGTTTTATGTTTATCATTTTTCATTAAATGTTAAGGTATAAGTACGAAAAGAAAAAAGTGAGCTATTAACTTTTTGTTCACTTGTAAGTAACTAAAAATGAAAGTAAAACAGATAGGATAGCATTTATTTCAATGTTTGAAAAAAGAAATATATTTACCTGTGTAACAAATTGTTCGATTAAAATATTTATGCAAGTACTATTCATCACTTTGCGAATCGGGCGCTACCTACTGGTTAGCGTGATGGGCTACAGATTGAAGGGTCCAGGGTTCGAGACGTGCTACCGTTGAATACGCGCTTTCAGGTGTATTTTTTTTTATAGAAAAGTGACAATCAGTTCCGTTATTTGGTTAAAAGAATTGTACAAAGCGTTTTGTGGCAGTGGGTGCTGCTAGCTGGCTGGCTGCCTTTCCTCTGGTTACTAGTTTAAAATTAGGGACGGCATTTCCAGAACTCTTATTTTTTAACCTAGTATTTAACCCTACGCGTGAATAAGACTCAGTTCAGATTGAATACTTTAATTTAGCAGATAAAAACTATACACACATTTTGTAGAATTATACACGGACTTTTCTCTACTTTAAAACACTTTTATTTGCGAGCTTTCGACCCTCTTAACGGAGCCTTCATCGGGCAACAATGTACTGAGCAATAAAATTCGCTAAACTGTGGAGCACTGCTTTAAAATGGGTATCTAGGCAACAGTAGTAACAATAACTGACATCTGGTATGAAAGTTATTAAACATATAGAATTATGATAAATATAGAATATAAATATATTACTTCGATATAATAAACAAAAGGAAAATACAATTATAGGTATTATATAGAGAAATAAAAATTAAATAAAGGAATTTTTAAACTTCAAATAATACATTGTTAAATTAAAGGTTTACTTTTACATCCAAACCACGACAAATAATATGCTTTATGTCTTTTATTAGTGGTGTCCATGCAGTATTGAGTAGTTGTTGGCCATTGTTTTGATTAATACCCACTGGTGGTGGTCCACTGTCTCGTGCTTGGATGGCAATAGCTTCTTTGATTTTTTCTACGTTTGGTGTTTTCTTCTCTGCCTATTATTTTTAGGTCTATTATATGGTTGTTTTCCTGAACGTGAAAAGGTATAGTTGATGTGTTTATAACACATCCTTAATATCTCTTGTGTTCTTTGAACCTTACCTGTAATGGGCGTTGTGTTTCCCCAATGTATTGTTTATTACACCCACACCGAGTGCTATAAACCACGTTATTTGTGAGGGGACTGGGAAGTGGGGATTTTACCATCGTAAGACTGTCGCGTAGTGTAGGAGGACTTGAGAAACCTACGGTGATGTTAAGCTTATTCATTATCGTACGAAGCTTTTTTTCATAGGCTTGGTATGTAAGGAAGAAATACCTTTTTCTTTTCGTTGTGATTTTCAGATTGTGGTTCATTAGTAGTTGAGACAGATAAACCATACAACACACGTTGAATCGTTTTATTTGGATAATCGTTATTCCTGAAAATCTTCTCAAGATGTTTATGTTCTTCATCTAGGTAAAACGAGGAGCATATACTTGAGGCTCTAGATTTTAGTGATTTGATAATCCCAGTTTTGACAGCTATTATATGGCATGAGTGAAAATTCAGATATTTATTTGTTTGATAAACGGTAGTGGTCAACTTCTCTAAACTCATGCCCTTGTGGAAGAGTGTTATCGACTTCAAGTTCTATGGAAAATTGTATGCTGTTAAACTAACTGTTCAGATGAGCATGAAAGGTTTCGAGCTCTTTCTTTTCATGGGTAAGATATGTTGACGATACGTTTATTTTATTAAATATTAATAAATAGAATATACTACATTAAAACAATATCCTACTTGCGTGATGCTAGTTAAACAGAATATAATATACTATAACAGTGTTCGTGTTACGTGAAGATGGTTAAACAGAATATATTGTATTAGAAATAACATCCAGACTTTCCAATTATCTACTAAATATTCAAACATCAAAAACTGAATTGAGCAGTCGTGAGAAAAAGACGATGTACTTTTTTTAATTTCTTAATAACCTTTAAATAGCGCTGCCTCATACATATGCTATTATATACTTTGATATACATTTTCATTGTCCCTTAGTGAATAGTGCTCTCAGCCTTGAATACGGAAAAGCCTGCATACTTCAAAATAAAATATCATTGATAGAAACATTCTGGAGATGTTGCAACTAGTGTTACTACACCCTCACGGTAATTTAAATAAACATGAAACATTTAACAAAAATAAAAGCATTATTTAACATATTGCCCCCAGTGGCCCTGTGATATATCTGCGAACTTATACTTCTAGAAACCGGGTTTCGATACCCATGGTGGGCAGAGCACAGATAGCCCTTTGTGTAGCTTTGTGCATAATAACAAACAACAATAACTTAACATATTATTAGGATAATATTAAAATTCAAATATTTTAGGTGAAATAATGTAGAAATATAATTTAGAAGTCAAAATTGATAGTTACAAAACAAAATAAGGACAGTTATCTTTCATAGTCAAACAGTTTAATCAATAATTATATGAGTCACATGCGACGTACTAAATACACTACACTTACTTCTACCGGGTATTAGTGTTACTTAATTTATTGTTACAACATACGTAATGTGGGTGAAGATATACTACTATTCAGAATTCTGACAAGTTTCTAAATTTCTGTAGGTTCTGGATAAGAAAGCTAGAGAGAACCAGAAGAAAATTATTTTTCACATACTTAACATGGAGAGAATAATAATAATATATACGCGCTCCTCATTATGTAAATATTATTCAGTATGGTCGTTTCTATGTTGAAATCTTTGGCATGAGATCAAACCCCATTGTAGTTAGCTTAACATGGACCAGGCAATAAGTATGTTTCACTGATAAAGAGCTCGATAAGTATGATGTTAAAAAGTCGTTAAGCTAGTGATAGTCTTGAAGTGATATAAGTTACAAGTATCTAAAAAAACACATATTCAGGAAACGTAATGCAGAGAACTGTTTCGAACTCAGAAAGCAAAGGAAAGAAACAAACTCATGTGAACTAATAAACTATTTTTATTCCCAATAATGTGCTGTGTATTCTACCAACTGGCCGGACTACAATTTTCTGTTTTCTTTTATTGGCTGCTGAGATGAAAGGCTCTTTTTTTATACTTGTCTTCACAGGACAAAGACAAAGTTCTGATTTAGTGTCGAAATTCAAACTCGGTCAAAACTTTAAAGTGCAGTGTGCCATAATTCAATTTATAGTGAAGATAACCTCTAACTCATGCCAATTTGTACAAGTATCAGGGTCAAACACATGAGAAAGTGATATGAACTTCTAACCGTTAGCATATGCATTTTTTAAATGAGTAAAATAACTAGTACATTCCGTTAACAAGAATGTCATACTACATGCAGAGCACCAGCATGAAAATTTAGAAATATTTACATGTATACATCTGATTAAAGATATATTCTAAACCAGTTATGGAAGGGTGACATTCATAACTATTTCAGCCATTACAATACAACCAGTTTCTTATAAATGATTAAATTGGCAAAATCTAGGCTCTTTTCAAACCTTTACTTATGAAAGAGCTAAGAAAAAATATTTGTAATAAGATATTTGCAATAATACTATGGTATTTTTAATCAAAGAAGGCGAAATCTTTCAAAACAGTGATGCAAACAATTCCCAGTATTTAAAAACTGTAAAACAAAGTTATATAAATAAATCGACGATATATACACAATAAAATAAATCGTTCTGCAACATGCAGCTAGCGATTAGTACTGCTACACGTGTAGTTTGTGCCAAAAAACAAAAAGACGGTATAAGCTGTTTAATTTACTGTTTTATAAATAATTTTTTAAGTACTGTTTATTATTAAACAAAATATAATGGCAGTGACATATCTTGTGCGACATACGGTACAATCATACTTGTTTCTGCGAACTTGTGTTTACATTATCTTTTTGGGTATTCAAAACATCATGCTGTAAGTTTTTATCATTACTGTACAAAGTTCTGGGTTCCCATTCTTCCCTCTCCCCTCGGAGACAATACACTATATCACATAAAGAACGCTTCAGTCTCTCCAGAAGATCGACATTAACCCAAATACCCCCTAACAAGCTTAGAGATCCCTGATCTCTTTTCAAATATTCCAGTCAATATCATAAAGAATATTCAATGTTAAACTGGTACACAATTAAAAACATGCTATTTAGGCCTATCTATGGCCTTAAAAAAGTTGACGACTCTACATGTTTCGACGTTACAACTCCTGAGGATGACGTTGTAACGTTGAAACATGTAGAGTCGTCAACTTTTTGAAGGCCATAGATAGGCCTAAATAAAATGTTTTTAATTGTGTACCAGTTTAACGTTAAATATTATTTATGTTTTTAACTTGATATACAAGTGCCAAAATACTATAATTCCAGTCAATGTTTCTCCAACTAACTGAAAAGAGCTTGCTAAATGACACCTCCCTGATGGACCACACCAATCTCAACACAGACTCCATTATGGAGCTTGCCACCACCTACTTTAAATACCAAGACAGTTTCTTTGAACAAATAGTATGGGCTCACCTTCTGACCAGTATCTACATGGAAACTTTTGGAAAAACTAAAGTGTTTTCGACTACAATCTAACCACTTTCTTTTTACAGGAGATATGTTAATGACAAATTTATTACCTGGCCACATTGAATTCCTTAAACACAAGCTCCTTTCACATATGAACTACATCAAGAGCAATATAAAGTTCACCAGGGAAGTAAAATGAAACAACAGAAGTCCTTTTATGGATAAGATAAGTAATACTCAGGTGCACACCCTCAGTATAGGTGCAAAATTTCAGGTGTCTAGGCTCTTCTCCCTTGGAGCTATGACATTGATGTAGATATTTTGTATAAGAAGTGAGTATTCTAGATAACCTTAACTAACTTATATAAAGTTAACGTAAGAACTGTCACTTTATATTTCACATTTTTTTAAACATGTTCTGTAACCAACTATTGTAGGAGTATGTATGATAATACTCACCTTAAACAAAATAACCTGGTGTAGATCAAGTTGAGTTCCCATACAAATAAAACCGCCGTCAAAGTCTTATCTGTAAAACGCAAGCGAAAATCAAAATACATGAAGGGGAGCATTACACATAGAAGCTTCACAAATTAATTATGACACTCAAGAAAAATCATTTCGTTCATTTATTTAAAATAATTATCAAGCTGAATAATTTTTCGTTGTGGGTGCAAAGCTAGATGAATATAAGAGAAATAACAAAGGTGAAGGAATACCATTTACGATACAGTAAATGTTCCAACAAAAGTGAAGGAATACCATTTACGATACAGTAAATGTTCCTTTCCTTTGTTAAAATGAGCTTATTCAATGAGCGTATTCAAGTCTAATATAATTACGACAAATTATTTCAGACTTCATTGACTGGCACTGATACAGAAGAAGACTGAATAAAATTGTTCATTGTCTTTTGATGTAGGACTACAGGCTCAAAAATTGTTTGGGTGTCTACGAATTTTCAACTACTAAACATTCGATTACATTTTAAATTTCTGTTTGGTAGATATTATTCTTTAGTAGATCTAGAGTATGTAACATCCTGGAACTTTAAAAATTACTAACCATATGGTAGAATAACTGTTCTGGACCAGAGTTTCAATTCTGTAAAGACTAAATTTCAGTAATTTTTTCACTGTAGAATTATTAAATATTTTTACTGTTTTTTTACCAATATTGCCCTCTTTCGGTTTTAAAGTCGATTATCAAGAATAGAAAATGGATTTTGAATATGGAAACATCAAATGGTGATCCTATGCTTCCTGTTACTTATAACTTCAAAGTGAAAAGGTGTTTCAAGTGCAATAAATATAGTCAATGTGGATGTGACCACAATGACATGTCCACTGAAAAAGTGCAACGAAAGTCTCTATAAAAGAATAGAAAGAAAAGTAAAAGTGAAAAGGAGGGAGCTTTTTGAGAAACAGAAAAAGCTGCTGTGTATTGAATGTTGAAGATGAGTATTTAGATATTAATACCATTTGATAACACATTTTGTAGAAGTCGTCCTGTGTCTGTTACTGTTCTTAGTTAAATACTTCTGATTGCGTTTTCTTCGCTGAAATATCTACATTTTCGGAGAAGTTTATATCAAAAATAGCAATTGACCCTCGTTAAAATAGGTCAACTTTGACAACTGGAAATTTTATCAAAAATAAGTATCAGTTTTTGTACTTTATCGGCCCAAGTTTAACTAATACAACAATCGAAAGATAAAAATTATTACTACAGGATCTGCTGATGTGAAGATTTATCTCCATATTCTAGGCCAAGTTAAGTCACAAATTGAGGGTTAAAATAACAACTTTGGGACAAATTAAAAAAGTGAATCACGCAGCCACGCGGTCCTATTTAAATGATATAGATTTAATTTTGAACATTATAAATCTCAAAATCAACATTTAAGGTCATATTATTATCGATAATCCCAAGAAACTGTAATTTTCTATATTATTTTCACATTTTACACACATGAGCAAATGTAGCATGAAAAATAAAACTAGTCTTCAATTCTATGTATAAACTGGGTATAGTTTCAGCACCTGAAGAGTTGTAGTGTGCTTGTACCAGCATATTCAATCTTCTTACACGAACATAATCTTATAACTTACGGATAGTTATAACTAATTCATGGAATTTAGAAACCATTCCTTTCTTTCTGCGTTTGCTATTGTGCTTTCAACCATGATAATATAAAGTAGTATTCAAAGCTTTTATATTTCAAATTCTCTTCCTGATACTCTGAATTTTGAAAATTCAAAAAGATGAAAAACGACAATGTCTAACTAATTGCCCTGTTTACATAACCTACGGTATATTCTAACCTCATATGAAATATCAGCACGTTTAATTTCAACAATGTGTCTTATTTTCTATGTACATATCTCAAAATTTTAAATTGTAATTCCAGCAAAAGAACACTGATGGGAGATCGTGTTCTTGGTTGTATGAGATAAAAATGATTTCCATATTTACGGATCTGGTCTCATAGCTTAAAAAGAACAAAACAGCAATATTTCGTAGACTGAATGAAAAAAAACAACAACTTAATTGTTTTATTTTTTGCTGGGAGGGGGGCAATAGATTATCTTTAATTGTTTTATTGAAAAGAAGTAACCAGAATAACGTATATAGAATGTCTGGAAAATCACTTACTAAAGCTTCTGAATAACACATTATGTTGTAAATACTAGAATCAAGTTGAATGTGTAATCTTAAATAAACTAATGTCTACAGATAATAGATTTCAAATGTAAAGTTGACAACTTAGTGTTGATTTGGATTAAAATCAATATGTTTAACGATAACATGACATTAATAATCTCGAAGATGCCCATATCTTGTATTTTATCGTTTCTTAATTAATTACAAAATACTTACGTTTGTTTAGTAATAACTGAAGGTCTAACCGGTAAACATGATTGTAAGACGATGTTTCAGTATATTTAAGTATTTCTTCATGAGTTGTTTTAAGGAATTAAGAATATAATTCAATATTTTCGCAAGACATTTTCAACGACGTTCAGAATTGCCCCAACAAATTTTCCATCTGTCAGTGCAAACATGTTATTCTAATTGCAGTCTGCGTGGAATCCTTACTATGTCGTTTTAACATGTGAAAGAATTGAGAAATATATGAATTCTGACGCAAAGGCAAACATGTCATATTTTGGAAAATATAAAACAACCACTAATATTAGTTTAACATATACCTCATTTCAAAATAATTTTAGATAAGCAACACATTTACAGAACATGCACGTTGTCTATTACTAGTGCTATCTGACGCATATATTTTGACAATTTTAAATTATTAGTTTCACCATACTTTAATCATAAACTGTGCATAGAAATAAAATATAAATTGATTTCAAAGGGAATTAATCATCAATTAATTTATCAAATGGTAAAATAAAACTAAATACTGAAATGTGGCAGATATTTGTATTATTCTCCTAACTCATTGGATTACTTGCTCAGCAGTCTCCTTACGTGGCCTTCCAGTGGATCAGCGATGAGTCTGATGGCTTATGATGCTATAACCCGAGCTTTGATAGCACAGATATTGTTTGTTTGTTTTGAATTTCGCGCAAAGCTACACGAGGGCTATCTGCGCTAGCCGTCTCTAATTTAGCAGTGTAAGACTAGAGGGAAGGCTGCTAGTCATCACCACCCACCGCCAACTCTTAGGCTACTCTTTTACCAACGAATAGTGGGACTTCCCATGACATTATAACGCCCCCACGGCTGAAAGGGCGAGCATATTTAGTGTGATGGGGATTCGAGCTCGCGACCCTCAGATTGCGAGTCGAGCGCCATGCCGGACCAGCACAGATATCCCGTTATGTAGCTTTGCGCTTAACAACAAAAATATTCATTACGTAAAAACCATACTTAAATAAATGTCAAAACGAAAAAGAAATTCTTCTAAATATTAGCTGAACTAAACTATACCTCATAATAAAAACCTATATTTCCTAATAATAAACTGTATAATTCTGTACAAACTGAAGCAAAATAAAAAAAAACAACATCTGAACAATAAAACATATTTTATGGATGTATGCACATTTGTTTTCTCATAACTTCTAAAATAATTGGTTTGATTTTTTTTTACTGATATGAAGATCATTGAATTGCCTTAAAGATAATACTTCACAATAAATATAAAATATCGTTTTTGTGGTATGCAAGTCTGTTGATAGACGGCAGCACGTACAGCAACAAATGGCAAATAAAGATTTACTCACTTTTTTTTTAAGACAGTAGAGCGACCGTTATAATGGCTGGAGACGGCTTGAATGGGTAATGAAGAAAAACTTTAACATAAGTTTAACATAACAGCAAATGTATAACGTTTCAACAAGGTTTTGTCATCATCATGGTTAGTTTGAGTTAACGTTCTATAAATCGTTGACCGCGAAAGTACATCTGATCAATCGAATTCAGTCAAGTTTAAAATGATCGAATTCCTAGAGTTTAAGTCTTCTGGTTTCTTATGTTTGTCTTTAATAAAGAAATTTATAATTTCCATTAAAGCTATTGAAAATAACAGGTGAACCTCAGAGTGCTTTCTTTGGCAGCGACAGACAGAAACATTCTTCTCCATATTAAAAGGTCGTTAATTCAAATCAGATCTGTTTACAGTGCTCTAACAATATAATTACATAGTAATACAAAGGGTAAGGTTAATTTAACATTGTAACTTTAAGATACAGATCATTTATTAAGACGTAGCTAACAAATCTGAACGATTTCAACGAAAACAAGACACTCTGTTGTTGTTGTTGTGACGCAACCAGCTGTCTTTGATTTTGGCAAGTACTCAAAATAGATAAATTCAGAAATAAAAACAGTGTAAATGTTACTCAAGCGTTTTCTTCAGTATGTTGTAAAATTAAGCATAACTCCAAATATGAAACCAAGAGTTACAGTCCTAAATCATTTTTAGCGTATACAACATATGATATTTAAAACTCAAATAAAAATCTGTATCATTTATTGCATCAATATTGTTCGTTTTAACCGTTCTAGGAAAGTAAGTAATCAATATAAAAAATGAAATATCGAAAAATAACAACACTTGTTTATATATAAATGTAATTTAAAACTTATTTTCGGATTAATATTATTCGAGTAATGCAAAAAAACAAAAAACAACAACAACAACCAAAAAGAACAGATACCATGTAATTTAAAATATTCATATTTGAAAATGCCTTATATAATACGGATAAAAATTAGAATGGCTCAGTATAAAAAAATACACAAATATAAAACTACTTTCACCATTTTTGCTCTGCATCTTCAGATACAGCTACAAAATTACATCACATAATAGAAATATTGCCAGGATCACACGAAACAATACACATGCACATCATTTCTGTGATACTTATTAAAACTAGGTTTAAAACCTTCACTGAACAACACGTTTTAAATTTTTCTCTAATTTACATCTTTATTCTTTAGATTCGCTGGAATATTTTTGCTATGTATTCAAAAACAAAAGGTGACTAGCTATTATTTGTTCATTCTAATGTGTCTCTCTGATTTTGTCAAGTTAGTTCTCACTTTTTTAGGTCCACGCAGTTTTATCAAATCTCGGATATTCTTATGTACAAAAGAAGAAATATTTTACTTTGATTTTGTGACAAATTTTATGACAAATAAGTTCAAGTTAAAAAAGTTAAACTTTTAATACCACATTTTCGCAATGATGCCAATTACGCATGGAAAAATAAGTAAACATAAAGCCATATTATCGTAAAGTTAAAAGATGTTTTATTATATCTGGAGAAATGTTTGATAATATCTACAATTTCAGGAAGATGTTCGTATAATTCCCCTGCAAAACAGTTCTCAATCCGCTTAGTTTCAAACATAACACATTCGCAGTTACTACAATCCAATCTAACATTGGATATGGGGTGTATAGAATGGTTATGTATAAGTGGGATTGAACTCATGATCAGACAGAGAACTGACATTTGTAGAAGTCCTTTAAACCAATGCTACAAGATGAATGTTTGATTTCTCAAACTAAAATTATGCATCGTCTTAATTAACTCTATTATCTTGCGTTCATGTTAGTGTATGTTTTTAACTCTACGCTTTCAACCATTCCAGCTTCTAACCCTAATAAAGTATTTGAATGAATAATAATTACATTCCATATTTCAGAATAAAAATTATTTAAAAGAGCTATTATCAACAGAACTGTAATTTAGTAAAAAAGAAGATAAATACTTTAATCATAGTACAGTCATATCAAACGATATTTTTACAAGTCATATTCTTATTAAAAATAAATCGACCCATAGTATGTATTATTAGTTGAATTAGAATGTTTCTTTATCTTATGGTAATAACTGGTGTTGTTTCATACATTTTCAGTGAAGCAGAAGCGGGGAATCTATGATAGATATGTTTTTTGTTATGATAACTAAATAAAAATGTTATAATCAGATCAAATCAGAATCTAGAGTAAGTGCCATATAAAATCAAATACACAACTTACACGCGTGTGCTGGATTTGATGGTTTCTCTATATTGGTGCTCCTTCAACTCTAGTAGATTTCAAGATAAAATTTTACGTATCCAAAAATATCAAAATTATGTTAAAAGTGGTTAGAAGTTTTGTTAAGAATGTTTAGAACTTCTACCAATAGCGTTTAGAAGTTTTGTTCACAGTAATTAAAACTTCTGCCAAAAGTGTTTAGAAGTTTTGTTAAGAGTGTTTAAAACTTCTACCTACCGGTGTTTAAAGGTTTTGTTAACAGTATTTAGAACTTCTGCTAACAGTATTTAGTAGTTTTATTAAGAGTGTTTCAAACTTCTACCTAACGGTGTTTAGAAGTTTTGTTAACAGTATTTAGAACTTCTGTTAACAATTAAATTAACTATTAAAGAAACCTTTAAGAATAATTCCACACATTATCTTTGGTTTTTTGATTAAATCAAATTAGAGTCACTGAATGAAAAGGTCAATTTAGTAAATACTAGCGTTAAAACTAGTTTATTTAATAAAAAATCTGAATTATAGTTTCTTTCCAGAATTTCCGCTTTATTGGATTAAGTAAAGGTGAAGAGCAGGGATGTCCTTGGGGCCAAATAACACTATATTTAAAACAAATGTAAGAAAAGTCAAATATTACTCGTAATTCCCAACTAAGGGCTTAGAACGAACTTTCAAATTATACAAATTTGATGCCTCTTTAGAATCATCTTAAAATGTCAACTTACAAAGAAGAGAGAAAGTAAATCCTAAAGCTGCTCTGTTGTTTTTACTAGTTTGTGACAGTGATTACGAAAATGAAGCAAATGATGACAGTTTGCCTAAAGCATTGACAGAACATTTTCAAAAATGGTATTCATCAAATATTCTGTGCTTTTTTTTTAATCTAGGTTAGTTTTGTATGGATGCTAGACTATAACTTCCTTACCTCGAACTAGGATTCTAAAATAAGACTAATAAATACATATACTAATTGTCATTCTAATCTGCCTTCTTCAACATAAAATATGATTCACCAAACAAAACTGATGTTTCGCTATTCAGTCCGCGCAAGTGTTGCAACAGATATGTTCTTTACTGTATACTTTTAATGCGGAAGTCAAAACGTTAAGCATTCACTATGTATTAAACTTTATACCCATGATTACTACCTTGTGATAATATATGATAATGTGCTAAAACCACATTTCAGAGATTTACATCTTACTATTTTGCAGTTGAGTTCTACAATAAAACTAAAACAATAAAATATTATCAGTAAACGATTGAAATGTCGACCCATATTAGACATCAAATAATTAAATGACCACAGTTTTAACCATTTTTTTATTGACTTTTGATTATTTACTAATACATTTTGTGTGGTAAGCTTGCCAGTAGTACTGTAATAGATTTGGGTTAACTAAGTTAAAACAAATAACTGAATTTAACAACGTATAGACCCTTCCCACATTTATCTTGGCAAATTGAGGAAGACTTGAGTGTATTCCTTTCATGGGGAATAGAAATGGTTAGGGAACAGTATGGGATGTAATGCTCCCTAATAAGATGATGCGCAGTGCAGTATGAAAGGACCAAGGACAAAATTACAAGTCATTGAACATTTTCATATAATAACTTTGGCTTTGGTACGTGGCAGATACGTAAGTGTACGTGATGTTAACTTAAACGGTATTAAAAGTAAAGCTCATTAAAGCGAGTCGTTTCATGCTAGATTGTATGCTGTTTTGAACTTTGTAAGTGTTCACTTGAACTAAATTATAATATTAACCTTAAAGTGACACTTCCGTAAATAAATAAAGAATTCGAACTATATACTTACTACTTATAAAATTCTTATCCAGATTGTCAGGAACGTGCTAATTATACACCTACAATGAAATCTTCTAGATGCTCTGGAAAATATCTGATTGCTAAAAAACAAGAACAGAAAATGCGCGACACTATTTGGGCTTCTCGAGATATCTTCTAGCAGTATTTAACAGCACAAGCTCGCTGCGAACAAACGCTCACCTTCGTTATGCTAGCAACAAGAGATACAACTAAAACCCGCCCTATACCACTCACGTGACTCGTGTGCGCGCGTAACGGCACTCGCTTATGTGCGTGAATGAAATGATACGTATATTGAAAAACCGGAAGCAACTAAACAAGTTTCCGTTATTACAACACATATCTTTCCACACTCAATAAATAAACAAACATCTAATAATCCGATCGTTATTTCAAATTAAATAATAAGTTCATTGTAGCTTTTAGAAAATAAAAACAATGCATAAACTGCACTAAGCACTGAAATAGAAAGCACAGGCTGAGAAGTACTAGATTGCAAGACATTTTCTTATAAGTTATGATAAATTTTAATGGAGGGGTGATCTTGTTTATAGTTGTAATCCTCAGCTAGAGGTAGTATTGATCTTGTTACTTAGTAGGCACTGATCTTGTTCATAGCTATAGTCTTCAGCTACAGGTGGTATTGACCTTGTTACTTAGTAGGATGTGATCTTGTTCGTAGCTGCAGTCTTCAGCTAGAGGTGGTACTGACCTTGTTACGTAGTAGGAGATGATCTTGTTTGGAGCTATAGTTCTCAGCTAGAGGTGGTATTGACCTTGTTACTTGGTAGGCGCTGATCTTGTTCATAGCTATAGTCTCCAGCTTGAAATGGGGTTGACTTTGTTACTTTGTAGGCGCTGATCTTGTTCATAGCTATAGTCTTCCGCTACAGGTGGTATTGTACCTTGTTCGTACCTGCAGTCTTCAGCTAGAGGTGGTATTGACCTTGTTACTTAGTAGGAGATGATCTTGTTCGGAGCTATAGTTTTCAGCTACAGGTGGTATTGACTTTGTTACTTAGTAGGATATGATCTTGTTCGTAGCTGCAGTCTTCAGCTACAGGTGGTATTGACCTTGTTACTTAGTAGGAGATGATCTTGTTCGGAGCTATACTTCTCAGCTACAGGTGGTATTGACCATGTTATTTGGTAGGCGCTGATCTTGTTCATAGCTATAGTCTTCAGCTTGAAATGAGGTTGACTTTGTTACTTGGTAAATGCTGATCTTGTCTGTAGCTATATTTCTCAGCTAGAGGTGACATTGACCTTGTTACTTGGTAAGAAATGATCTTGTTCATAGCTATAGTCTTTAGCTAGAGGTAACATTGATCTTGTCACTTGGTTTGTTCAGTAGACTTTAAGGAAGATATCCTGATTTCATTTTTAGAAGATATGACACCCTAAACATTTTAAGGTCTTTTTAAATACAAATCATCCTAGTACTTTCTTTTTTTGAGCCATTAAATCATACAGCTGTCACGTGAAAGTAATTTTATTTAGTAATATGTTGTAAGAAACTTTGTAACACATCATTTTCTGTTTTAGCATAAAAACATCCATGAGGTTTTGAACTTTTATGAGCTTTATTAAGCCTTCTATGCAGATGTAAGTAATTAAACCGTTATTGAAAGAAGATGACTGCCAGTTAACAAAAGCTAACCTCAAACATACTGCATATAATTTGGCCAAAAATTTATATTCTGCTTGGCAATGTTGACAGTTATGTATACCTTCTGCATTGAAGTATTACTTCAATTTAATATAAAATTAGTAAAGACTGTGATGAGGGAAATTCCAGGTTTGCCGCTCAGTTTTATTCAAATATCACTTTGTTCACATTTACCTTGTACAGTCTTGGCCGAAATATTTGTATATTTTGTAACAAATAGGATATTTATTACTAAGATGGAATACAAATACAATTAGCGCTGTCAAACTGAAAAATTCATGTTATATCAATCATCTAGATATGTAATTTGTATATGAGACAGGTTCTATGGATATCATGAGAGATTTATTAGAACAGCAAACAATTTTTTCAGACAACTGAAGAAAGATGTGCAAGTCAGCATTTCAGAAAATATAATATCAAGTTAATATAAGTAGCGTCTGTTGCCTTAAATCACTCCATATTAAACATTCAGTACTTGGTTTGTCCTCTTTATACTTTAATAACCTCCGTGATGCGACGTAGCATACTGTCGATGAGGTTATTGATGTAATTAACCTGATTTCATCTCATCTTCTCACGAAAAGACGCTGGAACTTAGCTACAGTAGCTGCCTTAGGGTCGTGGTTAGCAATTTTTCGGCTCGGTTCTACCCAACAGTTCTCAATGGGATTACAATCTGGAGACTTTGTTGGCCATGGCAATCTTGTAACGATCTCCTGGTCGAGATAATCTTGTAGAATACTCACACGGTAGGCAGTGACATTGTCATCCTGGAACACAGAGTTATTGCCAAATCTTGCCCTAACATATGAGAGAAATCTTGTCTCCGTTTGGTGCCTGAAGGAGGCGCCATTGACGTTTCTCAGGAGGATATGAATAGAGTTTTTTCCGCCATGATGAATAGCTGTCCAAACATGTACTGCACCACCTATTGTGTGTTCACTGTGGGAAAGACAGTCTTCCCTCATATGTTCTTCAGGCAAACGACGAACACGAATCCTACCATCAGCTTTAACAAGCCCGAAACAGGACTCATCTGAAAATATGACATGTCGTAAGTGTCCTAACTCTACACCAAGTACAGAGAAATTGTCTTCACAAATCTTTGACCAGTTTCGAAAAAGATTATAGCAAAACACACCCTTTTATAGAAAGCAGGTATGTATTTTTTTTGACGAACAAATGCTCAAAACAACTTATACAGACCAGAATAACAACTCGTACATGTTTGTCCGATCATACGCTACCTTTTTTGTAACTGCCCGGGCATTTATTCAATAATTACTCCATGCATGTAGACAGTAACATCAACACAGAACAGTATGCTAACATTTTCGCTAAGACTGTAGTATTTTAGGCAGAGGTTTATTTTGAAGTAAAATTCAGCATATTGTTAATAAAAAGTTTGATTATATTAGCTTTCTGGTCAAAGTAGACAGTGTGTTAGAAAGGGAGTTGCTTACATCTCTATATTATCATTTTTTACATGGTAATATGACCCGCTGCTATAACATGACAATATAGCAAATTTGCTGACTGTGTGTATGAAAATGATAAACTACAGAGTAACGTGAAATTATTTAATTCCTTTTATACAAACAAATTGATTTGATTCCTTCTGTATAAGTTAGCTTAATATTGCTGAAATTTCTTGTAAATCACAATTTGCCTATGTTTACAAATGATGTTTAGAGGTGAAAATAGATTTTGTATACAATATTTTCATTCACATTTTCTGGCTGGTTGATAATATAGGCATCTGGCAAGCGGAAAAGATGATTGCAAAATGTAGTGGTAGAAACTTGAAATCTATAAAATGTTTAGTTTTGATTTTATTGTAAATATAAAAAATGGGTGGTAAGTCTGATTTTGCGTCAGGCATCACACTGAAAGAAAGTGCCACAGAAAAAAACTAATGTCACGTTTTGACTTTACAACATACACGAAAATGTTAAGGAAGGTTTTCTTTAACATAATATTAACTGAAAACGTTTTCTTAAAGTGTGTTAAATGAATCTTGAAAGATGAACTCTTTTTTTTTTTAAGGCTCATCTCCTCCACTAATAATAGATGCTGATCTTGTTCGAAGCTCTAGTTCTCAGCTAGACATAATATTGATGGGTGGCGATCGCACTTGAAGTTGTAATTCTCCATTAGTCATAGTATTGATAATGTTACTTGGTATGTGTGCCGATATTGCTTGTCGCTAGGTCTTCCTCAGCTGGTCAGTGTTTACACTGTGGTATCTCATGTGGCCTGATCTTGAATGAGTATATAGTTTTCAGTTGGTCTTGGTTTATTTTATGGTAACTTCGTATTTCAATGAAAAACAACAATAATTAAAACAGATTTCATTTTTATCAATTGGAACTTTACTCAAAGGGAAATTATTTAGAATAGATGCATTTAAAACTACATCATACAGTAGAGATTACAAAATAAGGCAAGCTATCACAAAGGTAGGTAATCAGAGCAATTGAAGAAAAGGTAAGGTGAAGTATTATTTATATTCTCATAATTATCTGTTATTTCTTCATTCAACAATATGTCACATTGTTTTTCTTTCTGACTCAAGGTATTACATATTATAATGTAATTTTCGAAATATCATTACAAAGCCACTTGACCATGTGTAGGTAGCTACATATGTTCAAACTGACACATGTCTAAAGATACCGTCACTTTTCTCCCTGCTTTTCATTTATTGTAAAATAAGTATGTATGCAGTAATGGAAATAATTATAGGCACAAGCGATACGCTTATAGGAATCAAAAACAATGACTAATGGCAACCTCATGATGAATATATTACTGATACAAAACATTATCAAATAAAATGCAAAAAAAACAAGAACTATTAAGTTGTACAATGCACTATTATTTTAATGTGAGTGCTTTATTTCACACAGAGTATTATACCATCTTTTCATGTTGCCAAACACTTTATTAATGTCCGATTGTGGAACACCATTCCAAATGTTCTGTATTCCTCCTACAATTCTGTCAAGTCGTTTGGTCGCCTTTGGACGTTTTCACTTTTTACATAAGCTCATACAGCTCGAGACTTTTCACACCGTGACCTTGTGCAGGCCTACTCGTATTTGTGAGAGTTCCACCAACTTCTTACCGTCTAGATGTCGTGTCGTCATACTTTCTGTAAGCTTGAAATTATTATCTTGCTGGAAGATGAATGCTTCTGATTAATCAGAACCTACATGTACTTGTCAACAGTCAGGGTGCCATCATTTGAATGTAGATCACCCAACACCGTCTGCTAATATGCAGCTCAAAACCTGCACTGATTTTTACCATGCTGCACTGTATATGTTGTACATTGAATATGATCAAACTGTCAGTGATTGTTCAAGACAATCTTAACTTTAATACACCTGTAAATAACTCACACGTCCAGTTTTATTCAATCCAATGTTTGTAGTTCAATACCAACTTCCACTTTTTGCTTTTG